CTTATGGTGCGTTCAAAGACGGCTCAGAAAAATGTTTTACCACATGTTAATAATGGATAAAACAGCTGTTACAGCTGAGAAAAGAGCAGGGACAGAGAGTGCAGATGCAGGAAGTGCAGGGAGACATGTCCACGCATATCCCACATCTGTTGTGTCCGTGCCCTTTTGGAGACATGGGTCCCTGGGCGATTGCCTATATGGTTAATCCGGCCTTGTTCCCTGGCCACCTTTTTGCCCCAGTCCGCCCCTGCCGCCAAGAAGGACAAACCACATCCAACAGGATTAACTGTGGAAGCAAGAGGAAGCTGTCTGAAAGGGATGTTATGGTCTAAAACCAGTTGTTTCAGTTTCATTCACCCCTGTATGTATATATATACTGTATATATACAGTATATATCACACTTTAGCCACTTTAAAAAAAATACACCGAAGCTGTGTTTGCTTCTTTACCATTTGGGTCTGCATTTATTTCTGCAGTTTCAAGGATTTCACCCAACAAAACAGTCCCTGACTCAAACAGACGTAATCTTTAGCTTTGTCTCTGTTCTGCCCTCCTCATCACCGTCTTCACCTCCCTTTAACTCCCTGCTCCTCTCAGTGTGCCCTGACTCCTCCCTCAGTTAAAACCCGGTCTCCACGCAGCCCAACTCTTCTCCACATCAAACACGTTTCTTCTCAACTCATTCATCTAAACGCCACAGACTGCAGCAGCCGTCTACTTCAGGACAGGTAAGTTAAACGATGTTCATATTCAGCCTCTCTGAGAATTTTACTTATATTTCTTGTTKGCTTGTTRGGAGTTAAAATAAACATTAAAAATKAGAAATACCAGTTCTGAAATGAAAACATTTCTATGACCATTTAGACGGAATGAAATCATCTCTGATGCTTGTGAACTTATTGCTAACCGTGGGAAATTTTTAAAAGTTTTATTGTCTTAGCTGGTGTAGTTGAGGTTACAAACCTATTTGATGACAGATGGAAGTTTAATTTAAGAAGACACCATCATCACCAGTGCTTCAATTAAAAAAGGGACAGTTTTATTTGTTGTTAAAGTAAAACACATAAAACCGTTGTATCTGTGTGGCAGAGTTATTGAAATGGGATGATAAAACAAAGYGAAGAGCTTTTCTTGTTATTCACAGGAATCAGGAGATAAATGCCTGTCTGTGTTCATCGAGCTCATTCTGCTGCCTTTCAAACATTTCATGATGTATTTTTTTTTAAAAAGCAAACATGCAGAGTCTGTATGGAGCCATCTCTCTCATGCTGGGAGCTACTTTGCATTTTACAGTATTTTCTGAGTATCTACAGCAGCCAGCCGGTTAAACATAACAAGAGAAGGGAAAGGAGCAATGTACCAGAGGGAAACTGGTATTTCTCCTTTTATAGATATCGCCTCGAGTGTTACAGATGCTCTCTGTCTGCCGAACGACACAAATCTGAGCATCAGATATACAACCAGGGAGAGAAGAATGTATACAAGCTGCACTCCTGTGTTCACAGGATGCCTTTCGGAGGAGGAAACAAGTGCGGCTGCTGCCAGAAAACCGTCTACTTTGCAGAGGAAGTGCAGTGCGAGGGGAAGAGCTGGCACAAATCCTGTTTTCTGTGCAGTATGTACTGAAATTCTCAGCTAATCTGTTTTTTATTTTCACTGAATCCTTAAAAACACACACACACGCACACACACACACACACACAAACTACCACAAAGGAATGCAGAGAATTTGGCTCAAGCGCAGGGAAGTGAACATCTCCAGGTTTTCACTCAGCCATCTCGGGCCTTATTTGGATCTCGAGTAAACGTAACAAAGGTTTGGTTTTCCTTTYATGGCAGAGAAGGGTTTCACTCACGCCCCGTCCAACACAGATATGAACTCATTTGACTCTGYGAGTGTCAGTGCCACACATTATTTGACTTCACTTATTTTAGTTGCCATGTTTGGAAGATAAAGTCTTGAGAACTGATACAAAAAAAAGACAGTTTTTTTCTCTATTTTCTTTGCTGTAAGTGGTCTGTAAGAAGAACTTGGACAGCACCACTGTGGCCGTGCACGGAAACGAAATTTACTGCAAATCGTGCTATGGCAAGAAATATGGTCCAAAAGGCTACGGTTTTGGAGGTGGAGCTGGAACGCTGAGCATGGACACAGGAGAAGGACTTGGAATAAAGCCTGAAGTGTGAGCAACATGTCCTTTTTTTGTTACAAAAAAAATATTTAAATAAACTGCGATGAGCTTTTTAAAGCAAGGCTTTCAAAAGAGTTTTAATAAACGCAGTATTTCTGCACCCTTGACTAAATGTTTGCCCGCATACAAAATTCTTACATACATAAAAACTGTCTTGACAGACAAGCTCCTCATCGACCCACAAACAACAGCAACTCCTCCAAGTTTGCTCAGAAAGCCGCGGGATCTGACGTGTGTCCTCGATGTGGGAAAACTGTGTACGCAGCGGAGAAGGTTATCGGGGGAGGCAACGTGAGAGAGAAAAAAAAAACAAATTTTCTGATTCGTGTTGACTATAGAATCCAAAGTTGTGATTTGTTGCGACAGGCTTTATGTTTGCACCGTTCTGAAAGGAAATCCTTTTTTTGTCTTCATCAGTCGTGGCACAAAGGCTGCTTTCGTTGTGCCAAGTGTGGTAAAGGCCTGGAGTCTACGACCCTCGCTGACAGGGACGGAGAGATCTTCTGCAAAGGTTTGTGCTCGTCGGAGAAAAATGAGTTATTTATAGTGTCAAAAAATTTAATAAAGAAAAATAAAGAAA